ATAATCTACCTCAACCAAAATCAAAGTAGACTATCACTCACCCACACCAGATGGAAAACTCTACAGACTGTCGGTTCACACCCCATCACAAGCCAGCAAAACATCCACGAAACAAAGAAAGGTCTATCACAGCCAAAAAATACACTCCAGACACGCCGCTGGCACTAGAGGCACAGCATGGCCGCGTAGTGACGGCCCCTATATATCGTCACATATATATATCCTCAAATAGAACTGCCCGGTAAACCGTAGGTATATGACGATATATATATATATATACATATATGAACCGACAGTCTGTAGAGTTTTCCAGCTGGTGTGGCGGGGGCTCACAGCCTGTAGTTGCCATCACGTGACACAACTGCATGGTTGCATGCAGCGACCACATACGCCCCACTCGTCCCCAGAGCAATTGTCAACAGCCCAACTACACCCTCTCAGGGCACGCTCACGCTGGGTACCAAAACCATAAAACTCCCAAAAAAATGTGCACAGGGCTGGTCACACACAATGGTTCCGACCCCAAACACCCCATTTGCAAACCCATTTGGCAAATCCTTATTCTTTTTTGAATTAATTTTTGTAAATGAATGCAAAGTTGAAAAGGAAGATTTATTTAAAAAAAAAAAAAAAAAGGAAGATTTACACCGGGTATCAATTGAAAAAGGGAAGAAGGGCAGAATTAAATAAAATATAAAAAGAACATGTACGTTCTATATTTGGGGTTACTTCTGTGTGACTGGAAACCCCAAACAGCAGCACCCTGATGGCACGGTAGCCGCGGTGTCTTTAGCGAAATGGGAACGCGGTGTGAACGCGGTGTGACCTGAAACGTCCCAAATACCCCAATTCGGCCCAACCCATTTTCGCAATTTGTACGGATTTGCTACCGAAGTGTGAGCCTGCCCTCAGTCTGAACTAATTGACTACGACATGTAGCAACAGGCACACGGGTCCCAGACTGAAAAGGCACATGGACAAATGAGAAAAGGCAAGCCTGTCCTTCGGGACATCCCTATACAGAGAAGACACATAAATCAAAAAATAGTCCATACCATATATTGTTTAGAAAACAAAAATAAAAAAAAGTAATAAAAAAGAGTGACAGCCTCCCTTTCTCATCGTCCCCCACCCCTCATCGAGTAGC